CCATTTTGTGTCTCAATATGGACTTTCCGATTCTGATCATGGCGGGTTGGGATATGTCATTTAGCATGCTAACGTATTGCAATAAGTGTATAATGAGTCTAGGAGTTACCGTTAGATGACATTAGTCGCTATGTTGGATCGAACTGATCTCTGCTGTTTTTAAGCCATAAATCCTGTTGGGGAGAAGGGTCCTACTATCGTGTTGACAGTTCCTTACAGCTGTTTTGCCACGTACCCTACTTCAATATGGCACCATGAGTGTTCATTATACTTGTGCCATGTAGCTGCTCACCGCACTCTGTCCTCCTTCACTTCACGGTGATAATAGGAGTTCTGATCCTAAAGGAAAACACATACACACACCAACTAACTGCTCTTCCTATAAATAAGAACCAGAATCCAGGCTTCCCTTTACCGCCACAGAGGACAGTAAAGCTAAATGCAATTGCTTTTGCTCTCTCTGTGGCTCTGGCTTGACTGGAGAATGAGGGATAGAGACCAAAACAAATCTGTAGCTCAAACCTAGTTGAATCCCATCTTGAAGTTCTAAATGTATCACTTCAACAGGATTTTAGATCTTTCCCCATCAGTTACTAACATATTATTATATATATAGAATAAATAGATGTGGCCACCTGAATTTGTGTGTGTTTTAGTGGTTTTGCTGTAGCTTTTCCCACCTTCTCCAGTATTAATTGCATCACTAAAGGCTGTCTTAGCACCCTGCTTGTGAGTCATAGGTGGCACTTACATAAAATCTATGCCTATATTTATACTATCTCTCTTTGTCAGTTTGTTCAGATATGGTATCCTGCCTCCAAAATAACCTAGTTTAATACTAGGTTATTAAATACTAGGTGGATAATCATCTACATCTCATTGTACTCACAAAGCCTAACCCCACAATTCAGACTTATAGGCAACGAAGGACTGACTGGATGGAACAGAACACTATAATAAAAGGCTGTAACACTGAGAAGCACCCACAGGTATGCAGGGTGGCACTTGGTCATCAGTGGGTTGTATTTTCTCAAAATACGCCTCACTGAAGATGTAGCTACAATGCAACAGGATATAAACACCTTATCAGATATTCCTCAAATAAGCCTATACACAATTTTCTCCTTATATAATTGACATTCTGAAAGCAATGCCTTTTATGTAGAATACACCTACCATTGGCAAAGAAAGATCCTCCAGGGGCTGTACAGCATCTTTTTTAACAAAACCAGCAGACTTTGCCTTTCATTAGTTTTGTGTGTGTGTGTGTGTGTGTGTGTGTGTGTTTAAGACACCAGAATAATTTTGTTTACAAAAGATTTACATTGGAATCAGAAGGTTTATTTTGAGTATCACTAGAAAATGACACCCTCCCATCAAACATCCCATTCACCTGGGCGCTCCTGCCAGTCAGTGCAGTGCGTCACATTCCTGGCCTGGAGCGCATGGCAGTTGCCTCTGTGCTCCAGAAACCTGTTCACCATCAATGCATTCATAGAAATACCACTGGAATTTATTTAAAGCATTTGGGTCAACAGAATGGAAGGCTGTTGAATAAGAACTATGGATAAAAACAGGCCAGACTGAAGCAGCCAAAGAGCTCTGAAAGGCCCTTTTAAACATGATGCATTGTTTCATGGATTGAGATTAACCTTAATCTAACTCCCAAAACATGATAGCCAGGAAAAAGAAAGATCTGATAGAATTTATAGTCTGTAGTGGGGGTGTAAGGCTGATAATTCAACAACGCAATTAAAAACTGAGGGAGAGGACTAAGTGGTTCCCTCTTAATGTTACCTGGACATATTCAGTAACTGTTTGACAAGTGATAGGCCAAGTCTGATTGAACAATCCTTTTCCAGCAAAGGCTGTTGAGCCTCTTTCTATGTAGCTGCACTTTAGGCAAACATATTAATTTCTTCAAAGAGGTCCTAGAAGCAGAGCCTGAGATGGGAGTTGTCTACAAGGGAGTCTCCTAGGAGATGGAGAGAGACATGGGATAGGGCAGGGGTAGTAGCTGAGCAAAAATATGGTCCCAGGGGTCAGCCTGCTCTGTAGGGGAACACTCTGGCACAGCTTATACCAGAGTATTCCCAGCTCAAGGCAGGGGCCAGACTCCTACAAGCCCTTAGCAATAGCTGGGAGATTGCACCAGCCAGGAGAGCGGCAAGACATTAACAGACATCTTGTGGTAGCTAAGTTGATGGAACTAACTTTCTAGGAGCCTTGCCATGGGATGGAAGATGTGGCTCTCACCCCAACCATGACCTCACTAAGGACACGATGACATAATCACGGGCCCCTCGCACGCCTTCTGTAACCCTCTTTTCCTCATCTGTAAAATGGGAGAGGTGGAAGGTAGGGTTGGATTTTAGATCATTCCTATGCTCTCAGCTCCAAAGGGCAATGATTTCAACAAGGGAAGTGTCGGGGGAGGCTCCCTGAGGAATAATTGAAGTCTTTTCTAATCATAGAAGGGAGTTAATTAACCTAGATGTGTCCCCCGAATGGCTGCTCCATTAAGTACTCTTGTCTCACCTGGAATAGCTCTGGCCTCATAGGCAAATCTAAGTAGACAAGCAGTAAAGCCGCCCTGAAGGCACATGTTTTTAATAAGGATGGCAAGTCTCTGTTTTTGGACAAAGTGCTTTCAGGGCAGTTTACCTCAAGGGAGCGTTTATGCAACCAGGCAGCCTCATTTAACTGAGTCTTGCATCAAAGCGTATTATAGGCCAGAGGCTGTCCTTGCACAGCGGCACAACCTCTGCAGGAAGAGCAATTTAGCAAAATCTATCAAAATTATATTGATAAATGCATTTACTTTTTGGTGGCACTGCCCCTTCTCTGGGAGTTTATCCTCCAGGCATATGTGTATGAAATGACTTTATATAAATTTATTCATTACACTATTTTTTCAAAAATAGTCCAAGATTGGAAACAATTCAGTGGCCCATAGATAAAGGACTATTTAAAAACAATAGCAACAACTATGGGAGTATACAACAGAATACTGTACAGCCAGAAACATTCTGCATTGATGGGGAAAGTTCTCCAGGAAATACTGATAAGTAAAAAAGCAAGGGGAAGAACAGTATAAATTAGCATGTAATTATAAACACATATGCATGTACAATATTAGTATGCTTTCTGTGTACAAAATGGAGGCAATAAGATTATATATTTATCTTCAAATGTATATATGGATAGCTGAAAGTCTGTTTCTGTGTATCAGGAAAAGATATTAAAAAAAAAAAACCCCAAACTTCTATGAGTGGTTACCTACCCATCAGGGGTGAGGAAGTAGGAAAATGGGTCGAATGGAGACAGGTAGAATTGAAAATTTTCACCAAGTGCATATATATAATTCTTGTTTGTTTGTTTTTGCTGCTACTTACAAAACTGTTTAGATTTCATTTGGAGGTTAACAGAAAGAAGAGTCTTGCACTTAAGCTAATGATTAACATGATGTAATATTTTAAACTAGAATTTTTAAACCACTCTAAAGACTTATTAATGTTATAATTGTATCTTATTACTTAGGCTCAAATTCTTCCTTCAAAGAGTCATCAGAATAACATGGATTAAAGATACTTTTGAACATTTGCCATCTCCTGCTGCTGGTTTTCAGTATTTAATATCATAACTTACAGTGTCTATCATAATTTGTTTTTGCAGCATAGCCATTTCTTTTTTTAAGTCCAGCTTGTGCACCAGCACAAGTAGAGTATCCTGATTCTTCTCCAGGTCCTCCGTACTCTTTGTGAACTGCTTGTATAACTGTTTAATTGTTCTCAGTCTCTGGCTCTGAACAACTCTAGATGGTTGGAAAACCTTTTGTTGTTGAAACAAATTAGCCAGTTTTTCCTCTTGTTCCTTGGCTTTCTGCACATCTATCTCCCACTGCTGAGAAAATTTGTGGTTAAGCTGGTGCCTTAGATCTTGTTGGATTTTCCAAATATGTTCAATTTTCTGGTTACTGGTTTTGAGGGAAGGCATCGTATACATTGCTAGTCCTTTTTTCTTTGCAAGAAGAGCATTGTTAATGTCAGCGCCAAATTTTTTCAGCATATCCTGTACTTCATCCCCCATATCTTCAGCTATTCCTGCAGAAGTCCTTTTCTTCCCAGCTTACCAATTACTGGAGTCTTCATGTCAGTAACATCCTTCTCTGAACCACTCAGATCTTTTTTATCTTCTTTCTCAGAGTCATAGGCTCTTATACCCTGATCCTCCACTGATGTCTTCCCAGATTTCGTAGGATATTTTCCAGAAGGCAGCATATTTAAATATTTCCTTACTGAGGTCTCTGCTTTGCAGCCACGACACTCCTCTCCAAATACCCTCTTATAAAATTTTTCCTGGATTTCTTACAGTCACCATGAGTTTTTCTCTGAGGAAAATGGAGCAGTGGTTTGATTAAAAAATAATATGAAAATTAAAAGGCAGACATCTATGAAGACTGGTTGTCCCAACTTGCCTTATTTCATGCTTTTGCTTTCAGAGATTGGCGAACTTTGGCCTGCGGTTAATATTTGCACAGAGACCATAAGGCTCCCAATGCTGAAAATATTTACTGTCTGGCCTTTTACAGAGAGTTCGCCAAGTCCAGCTTTAAGTTGCAGAGCTGTTTGTAAAACAGCTCTGACTACACCTACCTGAGCTTCAGGTACCCGAGGGTTGTGCCTTCTTGAAACCAGCTTTTCTGACCACAGATAGGTTATGCACCAAGAAAATGAGGCAGGATATTGTACCAGTTAAGAAGAACATGAGCTCTGAAGATAGGCAGCCCCGGTTTAAACCTGGCCTCTTTCCTCTCTACTGCGTGACCTTGCTCAAGTTAACTTCTTGAGCTGAGCTTATTCATCTGTAAAAGGTAGATTGTAATAATGCCTCTTTTATAGGGTTATTTGGAAGATTAAGTGTGTTAATGTTGGCAAGAAGTTTCACACAATACCTGTTAGTATCATGATCTAATATTTTGATTTTATTTTTATAAACAGGGTGATGACCAGTCAAATGTGTTTGAAGAGGACACCGTGGGAGGTGGGTTTTCTTTACCGAGCAGACCAAAATTGTCACTTGAGTGGCTTTAAGCATGTCTTTTTTATTAAATAGCAACAAAGAGAATACACTACCAACAACATATACTTTCCCCTTAGCCAGAGAACACAATTAAGATGGGAACTCTGCATCTCTCCCCTCTTGGTCCATGCAAAGAGACAAAGGGATGCCTGGGAGATGCATTTCCTCAGTGCCCAGAGAACATGACCCCTGAGGTGCTCACTGAAAAGAGGATGCTCTGGTAAAATACGTTTGAGAAATGCTTAGCACTCAATCGCCTTTGGAAGAGTCACCTATATAATAGCACAGCAAGACTCCCCGACAAGTCCTGCAGCAGAGAGAGCCAGCTATCTTTGAGAGAACATTCTTCAAATCTTTTGGAACGCTAGTCTTTTTTCTGCATAGTAATTACTCTGCTGCAGTGTACCATTGGGATGCAACCTAAGAAACACCCAAATTCACACTACTTTGTAATTTTTGTCATGTTAGAAGTCTTGCAGACACTAAAAAAATCCAACCATAATTAGCTACACACAGGACTGAAAATAGATAAAACTATCTGAATTTGAGATTGTTCAAGAAAGGTAAGGTTCATGCTTCCCTTAAGTAAAATACCTTCTAACATCCTCACTCTGTAATAAATGTTATAATTATAGTACATGGAAATATGTTTATATTGACTGTGAATACATTCAAGTGATTTGGCTTTCTAGATAACCCCAACTCTAATCCTGCACTGATCCATGAGCATGAGGTTGTAGATAAAGTATCATTTGATGATCATGGCAATGGCAGTATGTGAAAATCTCAGCCACCCAGTGATATCATGGTGATTCATGGGGAAAGGCACATAAATGGGAGCCAAGTGCAAATAAGCAACTCAGTCCCAATTGGGTAGGGATTGACTGATTGCCCAATAAAGTTTCCTCTTTTCCTGGTTATAAAATTTAACACATATTCACTGTGGAAAACTTTTTAAGGTAGAAAATCTGAGTCATCTAAAACCTTATGAACTCTGAATAAACATGGCTAACATTTCTAGTACATTTTATTCCAGAATGTTATCCTTATACTTATTTTCACATAGTTGAGAATACATATATACAAATATTAGCTCCAATTTTTGGACATGTCATAACATAAGCACGTTCCCATGTCATTAAATACTCTCTATAACCTCAATTTGTAATGACTACATTACAAGAATGTACCGTCATTAATTTTTAAAAATAACTATTTTTTTAAAACTGGAATAGGATACAGCTATGCCAAAAATAATACTAATAACCACAACATCTTTACCAGATTGAAAATGGATAAAAGTAAACGTGAAGTCCAGAGAACATGAAATGACATCTGGTTCCACATGTTAAGAGCACCAATGTATTTTTGCCTTTAATAGAAAGCTCCAGATAACAGACATTTCCAGTCACAATGAGCTACTCACGATGAGGTACCAAAGACGGGAGCTTCTCTTTAATTAAAAAGAACAACAACAAAAAAATCATCCTTCAATATAAAAGCCAAATGATTCCAAAGACCCCAAATTCACTTTTTCCTCTACTTCCAGCTCTTTCTCCCCTGTCTTGTTCCCTTCTATCCTCAACCCAATTTTTATGTCTGTTCTCTCTCTCTCTCTCTCTCTCTCTCTCATTGGGCCTTTCATTCAGCTCATAGTGGATTCCTGCCAAAAGGTAGAATTGTGTATATAAATGAACCAGCCCAATTCCACTAAAAGTTTTATAACTGTAAGAGGAATGATCTAACTTTCAAAAGTACCGATCATCTGTATAAGGTATGAAGTGTAAGTCAGAGTCCTATCAGTTTCCTTAAAGTGTAAAAATTGTAATTTTACCCTCAAGATGGTAAATTAAAACCTTCCACTCTCTCTCCAGGTTATCACATTCTACTTGTTGTTGTAGTCAACTCACACCCATAGGATGAGCAAAGGCAGTTCCTTCCTGAATCAGGAGAAGAGCCCAGAGCTCCACCTGGACGAGGAGCTCAGAGCTGCCTCCGTCCTGCCCCGCCCCCCAGCGCCCTCCCTGCTGACAGGGCTGTTCCGGGGACCTCCACACCCCAGGGACCTGGACTTCCAACAAAAACACCAAACACCTTTGAACTTTAGAGTCTTCACTCTAAAACTGCATGCAAATTTTTCATGAAGTGAAACAAATCACAGTATCCCATATTGCAATATATTAGCATCTATTCAATGTATCTTTCAGTTTGCAAAGCATCTCCCTTAGCAGAAGCATTAACAAGAATAATATTCAAAATTGTCTTCAGTTACTCTATCTGTAGCTACAACTGTCCAGCTAAAAGGAGCATTCTGCTTCAGATGTTGTTCCGTTTGTCCAGCATTAGCACATGACTTTGAATGTTAACTCCATACCCACCCGCCCTGCTGGTTTAGAATCTTCACCTGGCCTTTGCTTAAGTACATCAACGAAACATTTCGGAACATTCTTGTTTGTGGAATCAGCCTGCCACCCCACCATCATCCCCATGGGTGTTAGACTAAGCTGCTCAGAAATTAACTAGTTGAAGGAAGACTTGAACATACTGAGTTTCTCGGACTCCCCTAAGGCCTGTGTTTTAAGCTTTCACCATCCTCTTTGGCCAGGCTGGCCTTTAGGTTGAAGCAGTACCTCTTTAAGTGGCTCCTACTGAATCCCACTCCAAACTTCAGAGCATCCTGAACTAGCCTACACTTGTACTCTTGACCTACCCAAAAGCTCCACCTCCAGGGCAGAAGGCTGGCCTGCCCTGGCGCAGTTGAGTAAGCAGACGGCTAACTCTCATGCTGTGACAGCAACAAGAGGGTTCCACTCTTGATCACTGGTAAAACCTAACCTTCATAAATAAAGCTCTAGAGCCTTAAAGCAAGGGTGAATGATTTGTTTCTGCTCCTGTCTGTGAAACAGCCTTGGGTAGGAAGACTGCTGTTTCCTCCGTCTTCACATCCTCATTCTAGACATTTTTTTTAGTAGGTGTCCCTACTTCCAGACTGAAGCAGTAACCATTGACACTTTCTGAGCCCAGAGACCTCAAGCTCACAGAGCCAATCCCAGTTCAAGTTTTTGGCTGTGGTCGTCTCTTCAGGTGACCTCACTCTCATCCAAGGTCTCTTGGAATTTTGGTTTACTTTAGGAAGGTATCTTAAACATGCAACAATAATAGCATTATAACTGTGGCCAAGGACAAAGGGGGCCATTTCCTGATAGGGCTATTCATTTACAAGAACCACAGAGTCATGGATATTTGAACCACATTAGAGATCATTTTGCCCAACACCTTTATTTTACAGATGGAGAAGCTGAGGTGCAAGGAGAAGTCATTTGCCTACGTCAAGTCCGTTGACAATAGGCTCAAAATGTAGCTCTTGTCTACCCATCCCTCATGGCTACCTACTGCCCCACATGACAATTGAAAATCTTTTAGGGCTCCACAAATTCTAGAGGGTTTCACATTTTTCCAAAATTTCTAATCATGTCTTTGCCTTAAAGCAATTGTTCCCGAAATTCAGCTCTCATTTGCCACCGTCATGAGTATTGCTTCATCTCTATACTACTTACTATACAATATATTATTTACTTAAAATTTTTACCAGATTGACTCACTGTTTTACCAGACTGGCTCACTGTTACTATGTATATGCTTTTATTTTAAAAGGAAATCTTATATCACTACCTTAAGTGGAAAATAACATTATTTTCTGTAAATAGGAACTATTTTTAAATTATCATCTTCCACACTCCCTACTTGTGTCTTAACTCCTCGTTATCAAAAAGAGATCAATAAATGTTTAAAAATGTGAAATAACTCACAACTGAGACACTTAAGAAATTTTTAGAATAATGTTTTAAAATTGTATTTCTTTGTGATTAATGCTATTTAATGGCTTCTCACTTTTACCACCTAAAGGCAATAATTTGTGTTTAAATGAAAATGTGTTACCTGGATCCGGGAATAAGGCTGAAATGCTCATGGGTGCCTTTTAATTATGGCCTCTGAACACATTTAATATATTTTAAGCTTCTTATCAAAAAGAACTACAAGATTGGTTTTTACATAACATGTAAAACCACAGTTTCAATACAGTACTTCTTGCCAACTCAAATTTTTCTTATTTTAAAGGTGTCCTGGAAGATTTGAGGAAGTGCAAAATTATTTTCGTGATTGGTGAGTAACAGCCCTTAAATTTTCTAATACAATTGCCTAATAATAACTTGATAGTGGAAAAAACTATTCATTTCTCATTCTGTTTTGAAGTCTTGCCTTTTTTTTTTTGTAAAGATAACAACCAGATGCTTTTGTATTGCTGCTTTTATTTGCACAGTTGCATATTGCTTATGGATTTGTATCTTTTCAGGGCAGACAGCATAGGGTTTTCAGCGGGCCCTTCCCACTTCACCACTCAGTCGCATGGGTCGTGACCCTGCACTGTCGCCCACATTCAGCCATCGACCAAATACTTCCTGCATGTCGGACCCATGCTGGCAATGAACAGGGATCACTGAGCCTCCATCATAGCGGAAAAAAATTAATCCAATTATTATCACAAAATTAGGAAGGTTACCAAGAACCAAAACAGAACAACCTGCGAGGAGTGTTTGGGAGAGAAGTGAGTTTTTACTTTATACAGGGTGATCAGGGAAGGCTTCCCAGTGGAAGTGACATTTAAGCAGGGAACTAAAGGAATCGGGACCACTGAAGGGATTGATGGGAAGTGAGAAAAGGAAGAATTCCAGCCCAAGGAATATGTCTTAAGCGGAACAATTCTTGAGCCCAGCGTGATTTTTATTTCTGACCTACTTGCATCTAATTGACTTTAACCTTGGGATCTGGGTGGACTCCGGCCACAATTATTTGACATTCTTTTCAGAAAGTAGGAGCACATTATTTCTACTCCTTACTAAAGAGGAACACATCATTGTAATTTCAGAAAAAACCTCCCTTTCCACATAAACCTTACTCAGTTTTCTTGGCATCAAGGCCACGACACAATAAATTATACCTTCTGTTTAGCTTTTATGTTAGGGACCAAATTTGGAAGAGAAGAGACTCTTTAAACTTGATGTGCAGGAATCCACGGAATGGGCCTTTGTTATCACATGGAAATTTGCGTTTTTATCAATACGATCCAAAAACAGCTTCAAAAAATAATACAGCATATCTTGTGGTTGTTGTAACTGTCTCTAGCATTAATATTATTTCAGATTTACCCAGCGTTTAACACTCACAGCTGAATTTCAAAATATATTTTCAAATGTTGCTTCTATCTGTCTAGGATAGCTAAAGATTTCAGCTCGCCAGTTCCTGAGTCCTGTGCCCTTCAGAAGGTCAGATGGCACAGTATAAAATCTTTGGCATCAGACAAAGCTTGAGACCCCAAAGGCTCACAGCTCACACTCAGAACGGCTGCTCTGAGCAAAAGGCTTTTCTTATATCCAACCAAACTCTCCTGTAACTCAACTTATCGGTCAGTCACTATCCTAGTAAAAAAAAGTTTCAGCTTATTATTTGGGCAGTAGAAGGTACAAAGCCACTGTGATATGAGGAAAAATAATTGTTCTTCTGTGGTATTTACTGGACTCTGCTTGAAAATTAAGGCCTTAGTTCCAAACACTTCCTTGACAGATGGCAGAATGGTATTTTGGGGCTGTATTATTGCAGGTCAATTTGAGCTTGTGAAAATACTCAGGATGTCATAGACACACCCATAGCAGTTTTGGTGAGTTTTAATAAACAAGAGTCAGATGATTTCAGGGAAACAAGCGTGGCTTTGTCTATATGAGAAGATGGCTGGATTTTTTTTTTAATTTTCTTAAATTATTGTATTGGCATCTACCAGAACCACAGTGAAGCTGTAGTATTAACAGATGCTAGGTTGACATCCTCACTGTTAGTCATAAAATAAGAGTAATATTCCTAAAACACACTCCCCCATTTCAAAGTATCCATTAGTTCCCTTTTGTCCACAGAAAGGTCTAGACTCTTTAGACTGGCCTTCCAAGCTCTCTCGCTACTGGCCTTGGTGTGTCTTTCCTAGTTCCCACTGCACCCCAGTTTTTGGCTCCAACCCCACCTGCATCATTATTATCTCTTGAACAGTTTCTCGCTTTTGCCAGTCTTTTCACTTGAAATGTCTTGTGCCCTGGCTAATCAGGCCCCAAGGTCAGGTTTAAGTTCTAACTCCCTGTGAAGTCCCCAGCTTCTACCTGTAAGCTTCTCCATTCCTTGTGCCTGCACCCCTCCTTTAGATACCCCAGAAAGACTAGAACAAACATTTGTTGGGATAATGAATTCTTTAGGAAGCAGTGTGGCCAGTTTCCATAACAACCGGAATAGTGATTGGAATTCCTGGAATGGAACTGACAGGCAGGTTGCTGCCATTGCTGTTTCTGGCAGGATGGTTTTCAGGTTAATTATGAGTCTCATCAGACGCTCCCTGCTCCATGTAGCTGCCACCCTCTCACTGAGGACAAGTGACATCAACTCCCTCCCTCCTCCACCCCTCCAAGCTGGTGCTATTTCTTGCTAATTTGCAAAATAGTTATAAGTGGAGGTAGATAATAACACTGACTGTCCTCTGAATGAAAAAAAGAAAATGTTCCAAGGAAGTGGACCTAGCCGGCCATTTGAATGTTTTGTGACTATTACCTCTTCGTTCATGAAGAAAGCAGGTCAGTAGCTGTTTAGAGAGAAATACTTCCAAGGAGCAGGTAAGAATATAACAGAATAGGGCCTGGTGATCAAAGAGATTGAAAAAGGTCCAATGGGCTTCAATTATTCACACAAGATACAAGCACTGTGCTAATACATAACACTGGAAATCAATCACTAGCAAAAATGAAAAAGTATTTGGAAAATGTAGAAATATTCTCATAATAGCCCACCCACAGGCTCCCACAGTTTTTCACAACTTTTTCTGGTACATTTCTCATCTTCTTTTTTCTTTTGAATCGCTTGATCATTATCTATTATGGCTTCTTTTCCCTTGTCTGCTTTTCATGGCTTGCCTATGCCCAAAATGGAACATGACCTGAATTCCTATTAATTTCTCTCTAAATCCTTGGTAGAAGTGCTTCAGTTTGGAAAGTCATCTGACTTCACTGATGAGGCCTGACACTAAATGGCATAATGATCAAGACACCATTCAGTGCCTTAAACTTCAGTGTGTTGGGGACACAGATGCCTTGTGTACCTTAGCATTGGTGCTGATAGACTGCTTTTCAGTAGTAAGCTTTGAGAGGTGTTTTTGTGTTATTCTGGGCATTTTTAATCACTCCCCAACTAGTCTTGTTTCTTTCCTGGAGGAAAACTGGGGCAATGAGAATTTTTGCTCAAAACAATATTTCAGTGAATTTTTAAAGAGTATTTTCTTGAGGCCTAGGTAGAATGTTTCTGGTGGGATTGACTCATGTGTTTAGTTAGATTAAAAATGAAAAACAACTTGGGGGAAAAAATACAAGCAAATCTGATTGTTTTAACTTGATGTAATTATAATAGAAGCCAATGTTTATGAAACACTTAACACACACCAAGCACTACATAAAATGCTTTAAATCTTATTTAATAATGCTTGTGTCCACTCAATGGAGTATTATTGCCATCCTGGCTTTACAAGTAAGACGTTAGAGAGTTGAATAATTCACTAATAAGTGATGAATTGGGGCTTGAAGATTGGGATTTTTTCCCTGGCAACAGATGCTGCCAATTTTTTGTTTTGTTTTGCTTTGTTTTTTGAAGGGACTGCTTGCTTTATTTCTTTTCAAGAAAATGTCCGCCAGATACTGAAGTCTGAAAAACCATAGTTCATCTGTTAGTCCGTCTTTCAGAAGGTAAAAATGGTGTTCAGCTAAAAAAGCAACTAGTTAAGCAACTCAAACAATCACACAGAGCTTTTCCTTGAGAAAACCGTGAACCTGGGTGGGCTGTATGGCCTTTGTGCTTCCCATTTTGTCACACAAAATATTACAGTGAGGTGTGTGTAAGGGTCACAATTAAATTAATCTTTTTCACGGCTTCATCAAAGGCATTCTTAAGTAACAGTGGCGTTTTTTCTTTGCTTTTCCTGTGAGTTCATAATGATGAAGAATACGTGACTAGTAGACGTGCGTGCTGCTGCCTTGATTCGCACTACAGTTTCACAGCCATTGCTTTTGCCCCATCCATGAAAAGCAACCACGTTTTTAGTGTTGTAATGAAATTAGGGATTCCCACAGTCTGTGGACCACACTTTGAGAACCACTACCCTAGCATTAATTGGGGTGTGGGGGCAGGGAGCAGGTATATACAACCCCAGACTTAGCATTTAGGAGACCGTGGAGGAAAAGAGCCCCTTGTGCTTTGTTTTCACTTGTCCTTTCAAGAGTAAATAACCCCGCAATTGTAAGGAAGGGGTCAGGGAAGAAGGGCTGTATCTACGAAAAGCCCGTGTTTCTCTGAGCTCCTGAGGGCCCGGAAAAGTTCTGAATGTTTCTCTGTGGCCAGTGGTAAAGGATGCATGTCAGAACTGAGCAAAGAGGGATGAACGCATCAGGATGGCCGGCAGGAGACTCCAAAGCAGGGCCTGGAAGGAAACCGGAAGGGGTACATCCCAGGGGATCAACAGCCCAGGGAAAAGCCAGGATGGGAGGAAGGGTAAAGAAAACCCTTGAGGCAGGAGAATAGCCCTGACATAAACACTGAACTTTGAACTTGTCCAAGTCTGCTCAGGCTGTTATAACAAAATACGACAGGTCTAGTGGCTTATTAACAACAGAATTTATTTCTTGCAGTTCTGGAGGCTGGGAAATCTGAGATCAGACACGGAGGGTCAGAGACTAGTGAGGGCCTGCTTCCTGGTCCATGGAGAGCCGTCTTTTGCTGTGTCCTCACATGATAGAAGGGGCAAGAGAGCTCTCCAGGGCCTCCTTCATAAGGGCACTAATTCCATTCATGAGGGCTCCACCCTCATGCCCTGATCCCCTCCCAAAGTCCCCAACCTCCTCATACCATCACTTTGGGCTTTGGGATTTAACATGAATTTGGAGGAAACAAAAACATTCAGCCTGTAGCAGAGCTGGACTATCAAGGCTATCAGATATCACTGCACTGGACTAAGAAAACCCAGGCTGGACCTGACTGAGTTTCCACTATGAAGTGAAAATAGGCCGCTTTTAAACTAGGCTGGGCGC